TTTTTATATATACAAAAAAAAAAAAACTTTATACCCTTTTAGTCGAAAGATATCTTAATTTTATATTATTCTCACATTATTTATAAATCGTCAAGCTAAAGTTTGGGTGTATGTTTTTCTTTTCTTTGATATTGCTTACTTTTCTTTGGTTATTAAAATTAGTGTCATTGAATAAATACGTACGATATTTTGTTTTCCTATATCAGGTCAGAAAAAGTGAACAAAAGGAAAAGCAGTGTAATGTTGGGGATCATTGCTTTTTCTTAAAGAATAATTCACTCAATTCCATTGTTTTTAATTTGATAGAATTAATCACTATATGGAACTTCAAGTGAACAGAAACATTTTATTTTTTATATTCACTACAGATTACTTATAAAGTACAACGCTAAAAAGCTTGAGTGAGTGTTTCCTTTTCTTGGATACTGCTTTGTTTTTTAGTAACTTAATCTAAAATTTCAAAAGCAGAATGCTATTGGCTTTCAATAAGCAGAGCAATGGCCAGAAGTTTCATGAAGATGTCACATATCTGCAGGTAATGCTTTTAATTAAAACTAACCACTTTTTTATTATTGTGATTGGAAGCTTTCAAGCGCTATTGAATTTAATTAATTAATGTAATACTGTGTTTTAATTAATCTTGTCAACATAGGTGAGGACACTAGAAGAATTGCTCTGTTTTGAAGAAAAGAGTTATACGATGAGCAACGAAGGAATACCTATCTTGTTAAAAGAGTACATCAGTCGTTATTAACACATCTCATTGCTTGATTTACTAATACCAATGTTGTCAATTTAATATAAACATTGTATGAAGCTTTAAGATGACAAAAAATATCTGATTTTCATGTAACTGACTCCATTTGATAAAATAAAGCTTGTTGTTTTGTCTTTAAAAATAAATAATAAAGTACGTTGTCATCATATTACTTTTTAGTGCTGATAAAAAAAAATTGTTATTGAAAGCCAAATTTTTATTTTCATTTTTTTGTAGTGAAATGAGTATGAGACTAATTAACCAACCATTGTCAATAGCTGGAGTTCGTCATCAAAAAGAAGTCGATGTTATTGTTGGACGAAATCTGGAACATGCTCAACTAGTCTATGACAAGATATTTGGCTATGAAGAAGATTGAAAGTGATTATAAATTGAGATCATAAGTTGATAGTTAAGCGCTTAAGCACAAAATGCTCCTTATAAACATACACAAAGCCTTTCACTTTGAAATCTAAAAACATATGGGAGCGCTCATATGAAGCAGCGATCCTGTAGATTAAAAAAAAAGAATTGATCAATCTAAGGGAACAATCAACAGAGCACTTTCTTAGGCTTAAGTAATGAAAAAGATAAAAAATAATAATGAGCATAAGGTAACGCTTTATTAAATTTAGCCAAAAACAGAAAGAACCTCAGCTTATAGTAGCACTTCATTGTCAAAGCACTCCAGAATGTATGATAATAAAGAAAATAAAAATTCTTGTTTAATTTATTAATAATATATTTGTGATTTCATTTATTTTTTATTGATAATATACTTAGCATTATTATTTATAATTTAGGTTAAATTTAATGTTCAATTAATTTCTGAATATAATAATATTTAATGTATTATAATTAGAAACTATATTAATAAGAATAATGTGTAAAATTTTATTTTATATATTTATATAGTTATGTAAATTTACAAAATTATATATATTTTAATTATTTCTGCTTGTGGAAGTTCTCTAGAAGGGGAATTAGTTTTTTTATTTATGTTTTTAGGTATTCTCGTGGGTGAAAAATAATTTATTTTTAATGATGCATCAAAGCAATCTCGAATCGTCAAGGTGCAATTTTGTTAAAGTGAAACCTTTGTTAAAGTGCAATTTTGTTTTTTAATTAGATGGGTAGGGCATCAAGGTACAAGTAGAATTGAGCTTGCAACCTTGGATATATAGAAAAGTTTGCATAATACGAGGTCATTAACTGCTAAAGTGTAAATTTTTTTTTTGGTTGTATAAAAAGTTTGAGTTGGATCACACAGCCCATTAAGACAATGACATACTCCATACTCGAAGATCACTTATAAAGATGTTTACAAATAGTTCATCAGTAAAATCTTTATATTAATAACAGGATTTGATTTCACTTTCTCATGAATTATAAGCTAAATCTTTATCAATTAAACTAATATTTATTAGTTCTGACTCAAAAGTCAGGACCTATGGAAATAGAATTTCTTCAATATTGTATTCCTCTGTAGGATCTTCTTTCCTTGTTTGTATAAGCTGTATATGTTCTGCTACAACTGACATTTTGAAATGGTAGCATAATTATTTATTTTTCTCTCGTATGTATTGAAATGGTAGCATTATTATTTATAATTTAGGTTAAATTTAATGTTCAATTAATTTCTGAATATAATAATATTTAATGTATTATAATTAGAAACTATATTCATAAGAATAATGTGTAAAATTTTATTTTATATATTTATATAGTTATGTAAATTTACAAAATTATATATATATATATATATATTTTAATTATTTCTGCTTGTGGAAGTTCTCTAGAAGGGAAATTAGTTTTTTTATTCATGTTTTTAGGTATTCTCGGGGGTGAAAAATAATTTATTTTTTAATAGTGCATCAAAGCAATCTCGAATCATCACTTGATCATCTTCTAATGATGACACATCAAGAATATTCACATGATATATACGAAACTCCATAAATAAAAATTAAGAAACGGTAGGTTTCTTTTGAATGGCTAAGGAAAGAAAACGGACGTCTTCCTCTAACAATTGTAATGAGAATAAAATAGATTGAATTAACTTCAAGAATTTTGGGAATCTAGTAAATAGAGATAAGACTACAAGAGTATAGTAAATAGTGTTATAGAGGAAAACAATTGTTTCTTCCAGAGCCCATATATAGACTAGAGCCCTAGACCATTGAGGAAGATAATGTGATCAAGAAAACACATTATTAATATTTACCCAAAGAAAAGAGAATACATTATTAATAAATTTTAATTTAATTTAATTTAATCTAATCTTTGTTCACCTTAATATCAATGAGATTTGACAAAAGAACTTTGGAATATATCTCACTGAAATTCAATTATATTCTCGAATTAAACTTTATGTTATATTCCTTTTAGGATATTCAAATGTGAATTAAATTGATTTAACCGGGTAAGTTTCACGTTGAAAAAAAAATAGATTTAATAATTAATATATAATAAAAAAATTCATGACCTTGAACCTGTGCTTAAACGCTATATATCTTTTAAAATGTCCAAATGTGAATAAATTAGACTTAGACTTTGTGCCTTAGACCTCTTCCACCTTGTGGCTAGAAGAGAAAAATAAATAACTTTCATGAAGAAATAGAGATCGCCTTGAATAAGACAAATGGTTAAATTTAAATTATAAGTTATTTTTAACCTCATTACATCTCAATAAGTTAGTTAATTATCATTAAACTAATATTATCTTTTTATATTCTTGCTTATTTAATAAAATTTCTCACCTAAAAGTGAAGAGTTGATTGGTTTATTTATTAAGATTTAAAAAAATATTAATTACATATTAAAAAATTAAAAATATTTTTTAACATGAAAAAATGCCTTAATGCCTTGTATTTTGCAAACGAGCAGTTTTTACTTTGAATTGAGCTTATGACAGAGACCTTTATGATTCGCAAACAAGAGATCTTCTAATGGGAACTAAATTAAAATCCAAAATAATCTTTAACAATAAAAAAAATTTTAATTATAATCTAAATGATTTAAATTCATAACTTCAATAACAACAACAACAACATTCAACAAACTTCAGTAACACGTTTAATATACATTACAACAATAATTTAAGAACAAACTAAATTAAAATTATATTAAATAGAAAGGTGAAATGTAAATAAAGGAAACGTTATGTTCAAACTTCAAATTATTCAAATATAATAAAAATAATTAAAATAATATTAAAATAATTTCAAAAGACTAGACCGAATCAAGTAGTCTGAGAGGTTAGTTTTTTGTTCGATCTAATCTGAGAAGTTAGTCTAATCTTTTGAGTCTCTTTACTTCTTTGGACCAAATTTTTTTATTAGACCGGACCAGACTTGTTCGAGTTGAACACGATAATCTAACTTTTGCACAGCCCTATCTCAGAGGTATTCTTTCCTTTTGAATTAGAATTAGAATTTATTCCCAGTGATGAAATCAATAATTATTGTTTCTTCTTGGCTTGGCAATAATCAGCAGGATTAAATTAAGACTAAAACACAAAAAATACAGTTCATTAATAGAGGAAAACGGAAAACGAAATTTTGAAATTATAGAAGAGGTTTGTATAATGCAAACTTCTTTTTTGCGTGTATACGTATAGTGCAACTTTTATTTTAAGGTCTGTGTAAGTTTAAACTTTTAATCCTTATAGTTTTGCTCAATCTTGCGGTTATTAAAAAATATATATATATTTTGCCTATAGGTTGACAGGATCTTTAACTTCTTGCAAGTTATGTATCTGTCGTACACTTGTTACCCTGAAATCTAGTTTTGATTCACAAGTTTGATCAGGGTCTTTTATTAGATTTTATACCCTATGATTTGACAAATGCTTTTTATATCACTGCATTTGCTTTCAGTAACAATATCTTATCTGGACTCATTGTATCGAGTGACACGGTATCCGTAATCATTCATTTATTAAATATGTTACGTTATTGTATGACAGAGCCATTAGATTATAAATTAATTCATAGACAAGGTAAGAGTTTTGAATTAGTAAGAGACAATATCTTCTGCAATATATTTTCGAGTTTAGAAAAATATAACTGCTTCCAGTTCTTGTTTTGAATTATAGATGCTTATTAGAGAAAATATTATTTTGGTCTTGAAGTTGCCGTTGAAGGGTTTCTTGCATCAGTATCAACCTGCTTAAACTTATTTCCTACAATTCAAACTCTTTAATATTCTCGCAATACCATTGAGTTGTTAACCAAGAGAAGGCATGGCTGCAGCTCTGGTGGGGCCAGCATTTCTCTCTGCTTCTGTGAAAACTTTGATAGATAGAATCATCTCAAACGAGTTTCGAGATTTCTTGAGAAATAGAAAGTTGAAAGTCTCTCTCTCAGGTGGGCTGAAGGTAACCCTATTGATGCTTGAAGCAGTTCTTAATGATGCAGAGGAGAAGCAAGTCACCAATGGTTCAGTCAAAGAATGGCTTGAAGAGTTGAAAGATGCTGTTTTCGATGCAGAGGATTTATTTGATGAAATCAACACTGACTTCCTGAGAAGTAAGGTGGAACAAGATTCTGAAAACGTCGAGAATGAGGTGCACTCCTTCTTTTCTTCTTCTCTTGGAAAATTTTACTGGGGTATGAACTCCAAGCTCGAAGCAATGTCAAGTAGGCTTGAACACTTTGCCAAGCAGAAGGATATCTTTGGTTTGCAAAGTGTTAGCTCAAGGGGAATTAAAAGAGCTACAACATCATTGGTAAATGAATCTGCTGTGGTTGGTAGAGAGGATGATCAGGAAAAACTTTTGAACATGCTGTTGTTTAATGAAGATGCAAAGGATAATGATATAGGAGTGATCACTATTTGGGGAATGGGTGGTGTGGGGAAAACAACCCTTGCACAACTCCTTTACAATGACAAGGAAGTGGGACAACATTTCGATTTGAAGGCTTGGGCTTGTGTTTCAAACAATTTTAATGTTTTTGATGTTACCAAGAATCTGGTTGAATCTGTCAATTCAAAAGTCTATCACAATAAAAATTTAGACTTACTTCGGGTTGAACTGAAAAATTGCTTGACCAATAAAAAACTTCTGCTTGTGTTCGATGACATATGGAATGATAAATATAGTGATTGGGATGATCTGGTAACTCCTTTTCGCTGTGGAAGAAGGGGCAGCAAGATCGTTGTAACAACTCGCCAAAAAAGAGTTGCTGAAATCACACGTACGTTTCCTGTATATAACTTGACTCCTCTCTCAAATGAAAATTGTTGGCATTTACTTGCCAAGCATGCTCTTAGAAATGAAGATCCCAACAAATATACAGTGTTAGAAGCAATTGGTAAGAAAATTGCAAGAAAATGTGGTGGTCTACCAATAGCTGCCAAAACAATTGGAGGTCTTTTGCGTTGAAAAGAGGATGCAGGGGAGTGGAATAAAATTCTAAATAGCAACCTGTGGGACTTGCCAAATGATGATGTTCTACCTGCTTCGTGTTTGAGTTATCTTTATCTTCCTTCACATTTGAAGAAATGTTTTGCCTATTGTTCAATATTTCCGAAAGACCTTTGTTAGATAAAAAGCAATTGACCTTGTTATGGATGGCTGAAGGATTTGTACAGCAATACTCCCATGGGGAGAAAGCATTGGAGACACAAGCAAGTGACTGCTTTAATGAATTGTTGTCTAGGTCTTTCTTTCAGCAATATGAAGGTGATCCAAGAAAGTTTGTCACGCATGATCTCATCAATGATTTAGCCAAATTCGTATCTGGTAGGAGTTGTCTTTGGTTTGAAGGCAATGAAATCCCAAAATCTGTTCGCCATTTATCATATCCCAAACAACGATCTGATGACTTTAAAAAGTTTGAGAGCTTTTATCATTTAAAGTGTTTGAGGACTCTTTTGTCACATTACCAACTAAATATGGGCTCTTTTGTTTTTTTGCCCAAAAAGGTGCCACCTGATTTGTTTTCAAAACTAAAATGTTTAAGAGCACTGTCATTGTCAGGGTATTACAGTATCACTAGCTGCCTAATTCAATTGGCAACTTGCGGCATTTGCGATATTTGGACCTTTCCTACACCTCAATCACTCGGTTGCCTAATTCAAGCTTTACACCCTACAACTTGCAAACCTTGCTTTTATCGTATTGTTTGTCTTTCAATGACTTGCCTGGAAAGATAGAGAAGCTTATTAATCTACGCCATCTGGACATTAGTGGCATTGCTTTGAAGGAGATGCCAACACAAATTTGCAAACTTCAAAATCTTTATAATTTGAGTACTTTTGTGGTGGGAAAACAGAAGGATGGTTTGGGGATTAAGGAGTTAAGAAAACTCCCTCATCTACAAGGTAGGCTTTCCATTAGCTACAGAAGGTCGTTGATTGCATGGATGCTTATGTGGTGAACTTGAAGAGGAGAGAAAAAATTGAGGAGTTAGTGTTGGAATGGGACTGTGATACTCAGGATTCACAAGTTGTAAAAGATGTACTTGACACGCTGCAACCTTCAAGAAATTTACAAAGATTGACCGTTAACCATTATGGTGGTACTAGCTTTCCAAATTGGGTGGGAAATTCTTCATTTACAAATATTACCTTTTTATCTATAAGTGATTGCAACTATTGCTTATCACTTCCACCATTTGGACAACTACCTTCTCTCAAAGAGCTCTTGATTAAAGGAATAACATTACTACACACAGCTAGTCATGAGTTTTATTGCAGTAAAATAGAGTCCTCTTCATTTCAGCCATTTCGGATTTTGAAAAGTCTAAGATTTGAGAAGATGCCAGTTTGGGAGGAATGGATACCATTTGAAGGTGAAGGTACCAAATTTCCATTTCCTTGTCTTAAACATTTGTATTTATAGGATTGTCCTATGTTGAAGGGAGACATTCCCGACAATCTTCCTTCATTGACAAAGGTTGACATATTAAAGTGCAATCAATTGAAGGTAAAATCATCAGCTTTGCAATGGATTACATCTATTGAGGAATTAAATATTGAACTAGGGGAACAAGGCTTGTTGAGGACTCTTGATAATGATTCTCCGGTCTCACTAAAATGTCTCCGAATTGAGGTGTGTTACAGCTTGCAGTCTTTGCCAAGATTGAAACCGAGTAGCCATTATCTTCAAGACTTTTTATCTCATAAATATTCAATTTGTGAAGTCCTTCCCAATAAATGGCTTGCCCGCTTCACTGCGACGGCTTGAAATTTGGGACTGTGAGAAATTAGAATTCCTACCCCAGGAATCTTGGCAAAACTACACGTGACTTGAACATTTGGAAATTAAAAATAGTTGTCATTCCTTGACATCCTTTTCCTTAAGTTGTTTTCCAAGGCTGAAACATCTTTATTTTGATGGTTGTCTTAATCTGGAGATGTTTACACAATTTGGGGGATCTGCTCTTACCTTAGAATCTTTTGGTGCCTTTGATTGCAAAAGTCTTAGATCAATGACAGAAGTAAAAATTGATTCTCTTGGTGCTCTTCAAAAGTTTAATCTTTCTCGGCTTCCGAATTTTAACTTGCTGCCTCAACATGGTTTACCTTCTAACTTGCGATCAATTTTGGTTGATGATTGCAAGGGACTATCATCTATGTCCATAGAGGATTGGGGTTTCCAACGGATGGCTTCTCTCTTAGAATTTTGGTTTAGAGGTGATGAAGGTGAAGGGATTCTCCACAATTTACTGAAGAAACAGTTACTGCCAACTTCTCTTGTGCGTGTCTACATACGGAATGTCCCTAATCTTAAATTCTTGGATGGAAAAGGGATTCAACACCTTGCTTCTCTAGAAGCACTCTACATCCATGATTGTCCAAACCTTGAATCTTTGCCAGAAGATGATCTGCCATCCTCTCTTTTGTTATTGCATATCTCTCGCTGTCCTGAATTAAGAGAGAGATATCATTATCAGAGAGGAAAGCACTTGTCCAAGATTGCTCATACTCCTACTATAAAGATTAATGACCAACACTATGATTCTTGAGGGAGATGTTACATGCATAGAATCAAAAGGTGAGCCTTGAAATTTAGAGACAATTAAATATTTTAATATTCATCAACAAATATTATTTGTTGTTTCTTTTTCATTTTTGACCTTGCAGGCTTGCACATCACAATGTTGGTATTCCCTTGTGGTCATAGCATTTGTTTACATCTTATGACTAGATCTTGCCTGCAGCAGATATAGGTGAACTTCTAGAATTTGCTTAACCTCAGTGCTTCTGTAATATATATATATATATATATATATATTCCTTCCAACAGCCAGTTATGCTTATTTCCATTGATGCGATTTCTTATCAATAAATGGGATTGCTTCTATGGTTGCTTTAAATTATTGTTTAAAATTTCAATTATGGCTTGATGTTTCAATTTTTAAGTTTTATCATATATTGGTTCTGTCAAATTTGATCTGCACAATTTATTGCAGCTTGTTATATATGTCATCTGTGTTCGTTGATGAATGATATTTGTTAATCATAAAGGTATATAAGACTTGGCAGCATTCTTTGATCATTTGACAGAACAATATGAGAAATATCTGTCCATAACAGGATTGGTGTGATTTGAACCATTTCATCATGATGGTTCTCCAGCTTTCTTAGCTTATTACGGACATTTGTCCAGTCTCTTATAAATATGAAGAATTTGGAATTTTTTTTTTTTGTAACGAGATAAGTTGCATTTGTTGTTCTTCATTTCTTGTTTCACAAAATTATATACCCAATCATGAACAGTGGACCAAGTCTGACTCGTTGTTTTTTGGCATTTATATTGCTTTTTACAGTTACATAAGCAGCATGTTACTGGCTTTCAATGAGCAAAGCTAAAGTCAAAAGTTCGCCAAAAGTGCCGCGTATAAAGCGATGCTTATAGTGGGAACAAACCACTTTTCAATTTTCTTTTTTATATCATATTGTTCTTAATTCTGAATCATGAGGGAACTTATATAACTTGGAAATAATATATGTCATTAGCTTTCAATGAGCAGAAAAATGGTCATAAGTCCCTGAAAATGTTACATATCAGGCCGTTCTCATAAGAGGTATTTATGGCACTGACAGAAAAGATTAAAAAAACTGAGAGGGTGAAACTAGGTAATTTAATATTATGTGGGTTAAAGACCTAATTTACTCCTAAATTTTTTTTAAAAGCATCGGGCATTTAATAGTGAAAGGTGCGGCAATTTCTCCACTAAATAATTTTTTTTAAGGAGCAATATTACCAATGCATTAAACATCTTTTGATTTGACTATTAGCTCACCCAAAAAATGCAAACAAGTATCTAGAGAATTACAAAAAAAGAATCAAAAAATTATATAAAAGAAATTTACAAGAAAATTAATCTGGATCAAGTTTCTTAAATTATGAATAAATTCAAGTTGACTAATCTTATTTATTACCCATATAAAATATTAAAATAGTATTTTAGTCAACCACTTTGACCAATTTCTATGTGATTATTGAATCATCAATGCTGGAAATATAGATAAGTAATTAAAAATATTATATTTAATTTACTAAAATTTTGTTTAAATATTTAATTATTTATTAGTTTAAATATTATTATTTATAAATATTCATGCAAAATTTATAAATCATCTTTTAAATATTAACAACTCAACTAGTTCTTCTAACATTTATAAGTGATTTGTTAATTAATAGTATGATAAATTATAAATCTTCCTTTAAAATTAATAAGTCCTCCTTCATAAATTTGTACATCTAAAGAGTTGCCTTGTAAATTGTGTGTGAAATTTTTTAAATAATAAAATATTTAAATTATTAAGTACTCCCTCTATCTTAAATTATAAGGCACTTTTGAAAAAGTTTCTCCGTTTCAAAATATAAGATACTTTGGGTAGATTAAGATTTCATTAAATACACCAATTTTAATATTACTCTTTCTCTCTCTATAATTAATTTCAATCTCTTCTCTTTTCAATATATTAAATGATGGGTAATTTGAAAAGTTTATATTTTTATTTGAAAATATAAGGTTGTTAAGTGTATTTAATGAGATTTATTGGTATATAAAATTTTATCTAAAAGTTTCTTATAATTTGAGATGGAGAGAGTATTAAAGTATTAATATTAATACTTTAATAATATGTTATTTAAACTATTTTTTGCCCCTAGAATTTGTACTCCCTCCGTTAATAATAATAATAACAAGATTTGGAACCATATTTAATTATTTGGCTCGATATAGTATTTAATATCCATGCCTGATTAGATATTTATGAACGAATGAAGTGTGATTTTAATCACATATATTTCTAATGAGATGTGAGTTATGATACACACATATATATTTGTTAAGTAACATTAATTAATTTCTGAATTTATAAGATTTGCATGTTTTGATTAATCAAGAAGATGAGGAACAGGGGAAGCAGTAGAATTTCTATACTTCAAACACAAGAGACAGATATGATATCCAAGGAAGTCAAGTAAGAAGCTAACCCAGCTGTTGAGGCTAAGCAACAGTTCTTTTTTTTTAATGTTTAATGAAATTTTTTTTATAAAATGTGTATCTAATTAATTCTTTGTTTTATATTATTAGGTTAGCAGAAGAATTGCTCCACTTCCAGCACAGATTGAATCAAGAGCCGGTAAGAAACTAACTAATCCTCTCTTCATATTCCTAAAATCTTAATCTGATGATTTACACACACACACACACACACAACACACTTTATGATGGGTTTTTACTTTTGATATATTGTTCTTTAAAATATTTTTTCAATGACTCAAATATCTTCGCCTCTTCTTCCTTTTCCTCTGTTCCTCTCTCACTCTTACCGTTCTCTCTGAGTTCTACTTTTTTCTGGCAATGGCCTCTTATTTGGCCAAAATTAAATCAGTGAGAAGCTGTCAAATTCATGTTATAAACCACAAGTACTATGTGTCATATTTGACAATTTTTGTAGTAGCATTCACTCTTGCCCTAAGTGTTCATCATCCATGTGAATTGTCTAGATTGGTTTCTTCACAAATCAAATTTCATTTAATTTTTTTAAAATATTTTAAGTAACTTATAATTTTAATATATATTAAATTTAAAATAAAGGTGATTTTTTAATTATCAATTCACATATGAAATCTAGCAAAGCCACAAAAAAGGAAGCATCTTTAAATTTAAAATCCTCCCTCCTTGATATGTTCCATTCAACAATGCCACTAGAAGATACTCTTGGTAAAATGGACGGTTGTGGGTTAACCTCTTTCATGAAAGAACGAAGAAGTTATTGTGAATGGCCTACCAATATTTTAAAAATACAAGTCCTTCTTCTTAGGACCATCCATGTTTCATCAACCAAACAGTTTAGGAAATTATTTCAGAATTTTGAAACTTTAATCCTCCATAATAATAATTCTCTACATCATTATCAGCATTATTCGTTTCTTGTCAATGTGACAACTAGAGGATTAAGATATAACAGAAAATAGGATTAAAGCAAGAAAATCAATATTTACAACTAAAGGCACATATAAAAGAGAATTCAACCAGAAAATTAAAATTATGGTAACCTTTTCTGACAGTTTCTATTTAATATAGAAAAAATAACCTATATATAGTAAAATGAATGATTGTTTAATTTGGTAGACTTTTCCAAGAACGAACAGAGATGTTGCTGCGGATGGCCTACCTTAACCTTATCTTCTGAAGCGCAAAGTGTTCTCTCAGTGGCTTCACTCTCTCTCTTCCCATCAAACTCTCTTCTCTCTCATTCATCTAAGCAATACTTTTTGAGTTCTGAAACAAAACAAGCCATGGAGTTCGCCGCTAAGGTGGGAGAAGCGTTGCTCTCTGCTTCTGTGCAGACCTTACTAGATGATCAGATGGCCTCAAGTGAGTTTCGAGATTTCATGAACAACAGAAAGCTCAATGTCTCTCTCTTGGATAAGCTGAAGACAACTCTTCTGATACTTTTGAAACACAAATCTGAAGTTTGGCAGAATGTTTTTTCTTTCTTCCCTGGATTTTGCACTTATTTTTTCTTAGTTAGTTACTCTAAAATTTCATCAAGCAGAACGTTATTGGCTTTCAATAAGCACAACAATGGCTACGAGTCTATTGAAAATGTCACATGTCAGATAACACTTATAGTAAAAATAAATTACACCACTTCTTTTTAAAAAAAATTGTTGTGATTAAAAGCTCATAGTGTTATCTTATGGTGAGGACATCAACAATTGCCCTGTTTTAAAGAACAGTCATATGAGAAGCAAGGCAGGTAAAAAACTAATTCAAGTCACTAGTTTATGTCTTTTATATAATATTAGGGGTTAAAGGTCAATTTTATCCTTAAACTGTATGCAAATATTCACAAATGATCCTAAATACAATTTTCAATTAATTTTATTCATCAACTTTAGAAATTTAGTTTGTCATGCCCTAACATTATTGTCCAAACATCATTAGATTTTGTTAATTAATTTTTTTATAACCAATTTTTGTCAATTGAAATTCAAACATGCACTTCATTCATTTAATAATTTATTTGTTAAAAAATATCAAAGAAAAAAGATATGAAAAAGACAATATTGAAAAAATATTAAAATATGTTTTGCATAAATATTAATAAGAAAGCGTTGTTGATTTGATTTTTCTTTAATCCCAGCGTATTATGAATAAATGGTTTAGAAATAAATTGATGGTTTTATTTCAAAAAAAGTGCTGAAGGCTAAACTTTAATAACAAAACACACCCAAACTTTAAAGCGTCTTTTTCCCCCTTCTTACACAAATTTCTAACATATAGATCATTGATATACATACATACATATATATATATATATATATATATAAGAATGCTCTCCCTTCAGAAATGTATTCATTAAGGTCTCAGGTTTATTTTAGCCTTGTAGATTCACTCGTACCATTATCATCGGAAAATGAATGATGGTGGTTGACGCGTGGATTGAGCAGAGATGTTGCGGGGAAGGCCTACCATATTTAATTCACGTCCTTCTTATCTTCATTGCAATTACCCTCCCCTGTCTTTTCCTGAAATATTTAAGAAATTCATTTAACTTCGTCTGCAAGTGCTCTCTCAAACAATCTAAAACCAGCTTCTCACTCCATCGCTTCCTATCAAACTCTCTTCTCTCTCAGTCACTTTGAGTTCTGAAACAAAACAAGGCATGGCTGCAGCAGCTGTGGGACAAGCTTTGCTCTCTGCTTCTGTCCAGACCTTACTGGATAGGATCACCTCGAGCGAGTTTCGAGATTTCATGAACAACAGAAAGCTGAATGTCTCTCTCATGGATGAGATGAAGATTACTCTGTTGATGCTCGATGCTGTCCTCAACGACGCAGAAGAGAAGATGATCACAAACCATGTAGTCAAGGAGTGGCTTGAAGAGTTGAAAGATGCTGTCTATGATGCTGAGGATTTACCGGATGAGATCAACACTGAGTCTCTCAGATCCAAGGTTGAAAAAGATTCTCAAAACGTCGCTAACAAGGTGCGATCCTTCTTTCCTTCTTGTTTTGATGAATTTAATTGGAAGATGAACTCCAGGCTAGAAGCAACATGCCGAAGGCTCGAACACTTTGCCAAGCAGAAGGATATCATTGGTTTGCAAAGTGTTAGCATGGGAGTGCATAAAACACCTTCAACTTCATTGGTAAATGAATCCGATGTGGTTGGTAGAGAGGATGATAAGGAGAAGCTAATGAAAATTGTCACGCCCTAAAAATAGAAGATGACTGGCACGGGTGTGAACCAATTTCACATTCCCGTAAGCCTCCAAGTGAATATTTATTTCATTTTTCAAGAAAAGAATAAAATTCAATCAAATCATATGAGAATTAAAATAACTTCTTTAAATTCATTATCATAAGAAAGTGTCAACGTTTTTGTAGAAATTTTGACAGAACCTTCCCTGTAACTAGGATCTCTCGAAAATTCTACAACAAAAATTTTTACAAATATCAGTATAAATCAGGAGCGTAGCTCCTTCCAGCCAGCAATCAATATGCAGACCAAAAATAAGGTTCATCAACAACCTATGTAGAGCATCTACTCTTTTTTTCAAATCAAAAAGACATACAAATTATATATTTACATTAAAGCAACAATACTAATGAAAAAGGTTCACCCACTATAGCTAGTTGCCCTTTAGAGGTCGATGGTGGTATCAGCGTCAGCTAACAAATCTGAGGCCAAAATAATTTTCTAGTGAATAACATTCCCATGAAAAAAAAATTCTTAAAATTTTAATCAATAATCTCTAATAATAGTGTCAGCTAGTTAAAAGCAATTTCACTAAAATTTATAAACATGTAAGTCATAACCATATTTGTAAAATAAGAGTAAATTGAAAACAATTTATGTTATCATGCTTAAAGAAAGCAATCTGCTTTCATATAACTCAAAGTGATACAAATTACTAGTCAAAATCAAGTAAATTTTGAAAACACATATTAATTAACATTTAAAATTTTGAGAACTCAACAGAACAGGTTACAAACATGGACACTCTGTCCACGAGGATAAATAACCAAACATGGCTTATGCAACGAAAACAAACGTGGACACACCAGTCCATAAGGGTAAATAACCAAACGCGGCTCAGGCCACGGAATCAAACGTGGGTACGAAGCCCACGAATACCAAACGTGAGAATAAAACTCACGAAACAAACTAGCTAGTATTTAACCACAGCGCGCTACGGGCTAACGGAACTACCGTTAGCAGCAGTGTTCTGTATAGAGTTCTCTTAGAAATCTCGTTTCAAACATGTGAGAGAAATAATTATTTTTGAAGTCAACTTTTTCATTCTCAAAATCAAACTCTCATGAATTGCCTTAATTATATGAAACTTGTCAAATCAATACATCATAGTGAATGTACAAACTTGCACTAATCATGTAACCAAGAAATTTTGAAATTCAATAAGTAAAGGTGCCTTCATCAATATTAAAAAGATATTTCTTGAGAAAATGCACAAATTATAATGTAACGATCCTTCATCGTTATCTCAAAATTTCTAAAACTAACATAATTCATAAAAATAAAATATTTCAATAAAAAAATTTTAATAAATAATTATAAGGAATGCTATTCACTTACTCATCAGAGTTCCAAATTTTCAAAGATATTCTTCCTTTAATTCTTTTCAAGGTCCTATTCTTCCACACACCCTATAAAGATATAAATAAATATCCTTTCAATAACTTTTTTTTTTAATCTATTACATAATCTCAACCAACCACCATCATTTAAATTTTCAAAACGAAAATTCATGCCTTAGAGTTGATCAAAGTATTATTATCCATATCACTAGTCTCCTCTAACTTATTTTAACCATGCCAATCTATTTCCTTGAGACACAATTTTCTGTCAAGCTTTGCACCAAATGCCTTAGGTGCCTTACTTCTACCAATTCAATTTAAACATCCAACAATTTACTAATAACCTTACAATTCCCAAGAATTTAAATGGCTTCATACAAATTCATATTTAAATTCTTTTACAATCTATAAGTCAATTTGTAGATCCAAAATTTTTCATACTAGCATACTTCTCACAAAGACTAATTAAATTTCAAAAATGCAAATCCAAGCCAACTCTCTTCCTAGACATTTTATCAAACACTATATGAGCATAAGTTATCAAGCTAATATTAACATTTTCTTTCAAAATTTCAGCTTCCTTAAACCTTACAATATCACTAATTCAATCATTTCTAATTACAAACTCAATTCCATACTATCAGCTCCTTCCTTATATAACCACTAATTTCAATTTAAAATCAAGCTTCCTCTTCTTATATAGCCATATACGGTCACGAGCAGCAGCAGGGCTTAAGAAAATAAATTTGCAACATCAACTCTATCCCTTCACCATCTCACACGCACAGAATTTTCTAAGGAGAAGAGATCAAAAATTCTCACCTTGGATAAACTAACAACACGCAAACCAAGAGGGGGAAGAGAATGTTCGTCTGCACAGTGAAAGAGAGGAAGATCGCTGTTGGCATAGAGAAGAGATGAGCAAACCAGTGATTGACTGAGCAAGCAGAACAAACGAAGTAAGTTCTCCTATTCACCTGCACAGCCACGCCAATGATGAAGAAAAGGAAAAAAAATCGATCTGGAACAAAGGAGGAGGAAGACGTCACGTTTTTGTTGATCAAGGGCAGATGAGACAACAGCAACGGTAAGCATGCCGGCGAGCTCATAACCACAAGCTACAGACTGAAAAAAAAATGACGAGGAAGCTCGAGTTACTTGCACTGTTTTACAGACGATAAGATAAGGGAGAATGATGTAAAATAGAGGAGAGCACTACCAACCCATTTATCTTTTCCCACGGTGAAGACTCCAGCGTTTATGGAGTCACCGGTGACCAGTAGAATGACAGAGCTGATGGCGGAGGACAGAAGGCCGGACGAGGGTTCGAAGATTCTGGAAAATCCTCAAGCTCTCTCTCCACCGACCAGCACGCACGGATCTGATAAAGAGAAAGAAAGAAGAGGAATATGTCAGATTTGAGGAAGGGCATTTTGGTAATTTCACAGAGTCAAAAATTTCAAAAGTAATTTTCCTTTTAACCTTCATCAGTTCGAACTTGGGACCGAATGAGTGCATTACATGCACACTTCCACTACACCAACTTTCCTTCTTGTCAAAATTATCCCAAAATTAATATAACTTCAATTATAATACAATACTATATATTAAATTTTTTTAATAAAATTTTTACTTAACATTCTTGAGTTATTACAAAAATGCTTCTAGGTGATGAAGATTCAAAGGGTAATGGCATAGGAGTGATCACTATCTGGGGAATGGGAGGGTTGGGTAAAACCACCCTTGCTCAGCTCCTTTACAATGATGAGAAGGTGCAGGAGCATTTCGATTTGAAGGCTTGGGCATGTGTTTCAGATGATTTTAGTGTTTTAGAGGTGATAAGGAATCTTCTTGAGTCTGTCACTTCAAAAGTCTATGATAATAAAAATCTAGACTTTCTTTATGTTGAATTAAGGAATAGCTTGAGTAATAAAAAGTTTTTGATGGTGTTGGATGATCTATGGAATGAGAAATATAGTCATTGGGATGACCTTGTAACTCCTTTTCACAGTGGAAGAAGGGGAAGCAAAATCATCGTAACAACTTATCAAAAAAGAGTTGTTGAAATCACTCATACCTTTCCTGTACATGAGTTGCGCTGTCTCTCCGATAATAATTGTTGGCTTTTACTCTCCAAGCATGCATTTGCAAATGAAGATCCAAACAGATATCCAGAGCTAGGAGCAATCGGTAAGCAAATTGCAAGAAAATGTGGTGGCCTCCCAATTGCTGTGAAAACTATTGGAGGTCTTTTGCGTTCAAAAGTGGATGAAAAGGAATGGAGTAAAATTCTAAATAGCAACCAATGGGGCATACCAAATGATGATGTTATGCCTGCTTTGCGTCTGAGTTATCTCTATCTTCCATCACATTTGAAGAAATGCTTTGCTTATTGCTCAGTCTTCCCTAAAGATATGTTGTTAGACAAAAAGAAATTGGTCTTGTTATGAATGGCAGAAGACTTTGTACACCAATAATCCCATGTGATGAAGACATTTGAAATGCAAGCAAATGACTACTTTAATGAATTATTGTGTAGGTCATTCTTTCAACAAGATGGTGGCGATTAAAGAAAGTTTGTCATGCATGATCTCATCAACGATTTAGCCAAAGTTGTATCTGGAAAGAGTTGCCTATGGTTTGAAGGCCAACAAATTTCAAAACCTAGTCTTCGTCACTTATCATATCCTAGGCAAAGGCGTGATGGCTCTAAAAGGTTTAAGAACTTCTATCAATTAAATTGTTTAAGGACTTTTTTACCCCAATTTATAGACAAGTGGATGATACCTTGTTCATTGACCAGAAAGGTACCACGGGATTTGTTGCCAAAACTAAAATGTTTAAGAGTACTATCTTTGTTTGGCTATGACAATGTCAATGAGCTGCCTGATTCAATTGGTAATTTGCAACATTTGCGATATCTAGACCTTTCTGGCAATTCAATTGAAAGATTTCTTGATGCGGTCTTTACACTTTACAATTTGCAGACATTGCTTTTGTCAAATTGTAAGTGTTTTAAAGAATTGTCGGGAAAGATAGAAAGGCTTATTAATCTATGTCACTTGGACATTAGTGGCACCACTTTAAAGGAGATGCCTAGACAAATTACAAAACTAGAAAATCTTTAAAGTTTGAGTACCTTTATAGTGGGCAAACAACCGATTGGATTGGGAATTAAAGAGTTAAAAAAGCTCCCTTCTTTGCAAGGTAAACTTTCCCTTTCAAAACTAGAAAATGTTGTTGATTCAATGGATGCTTTGGAGGCAAACTTGAAGAAGAGAGACAAAATTGAGGAGTTAGTGTTGGAATGGGATTGTGATGCTTAAGATTCACAAATCATGAAAAATGTCCTCAACATGCTACAACCTTCAACAAACTTACAGAGATTGACCATCAACCATTATCGTGGCACTAACTTTCCGAATTGGGTAGGAGATTCTTCATTCAAGAATATTGCATATTTATCAATGAGTTCTTGAAGGTATTGCTTTTTACTCCCATCATTTGGACAATTACCTTCTCTGAAAGAGCTTGTTATTGAAGGAATGGAATTAGTTCAGATAGCTGGACTTGAGTTCTATTGCAGCAACACAAAGTCCCCTTCATTTCAACCATTTTCATCCTTGGAAATTCTAGAATTTAGACATATGCCAGTTTGGGAGGAATGGATACTGTTTGATGGTGAAGGTGCCAAATTTTCTTTTCCTCATCTCAAACGTTTGGGTTTATATGATTGTCCTATGTTGAAGGGAGACATGCCTAATAACCTTCCATCATTGACAATGGTTTTTGTTTCAAATTGCAAACGATTGGAGGTAAAATCAACAACTTTGCATTGGATTGCATCTATTGAAGAATTAAACATAGAGCAAGGGGAACAGGGGTTATTGGGAGCTCTTGATGATTATTCTCTAGACTCTCTGAAATCCATAACAATTGGGAAGTGTGATTGCTTGCGGTCATTTCCAAGAATGATAATGGATAGCCACGTTCTTGTAAAGTTGTCTCTCTATGATATTCCATCGATCATGTCCTTTCCAATTGAAGGTTTGCCTGCTTCTTTGCAATGTCTTGTAATTACATACTGTAAGAAGTTAGAGTTCGTACCTCAAGAATCTTTACGAAACTGCACATCACTTGAAAGATTGTGGATTGAGAATAGTTGTCGTTCCTTGGCATTCTTTCCATTAGGTTGTCTTCCCAAGCTTAAACACCTTGGCATTTGCAAATGTCATAATTTAGAGACCTTTACAAATGTTGGGGGTCTGCTCTTCCCTTAGAATTGTTTTTATATTGCTAGTTGCAAAAAACTTAGATCAATGTCAGAAGTACACATTGATTCCCTTGCCAACCTTCAACATTTTCAACTAAGAAGGCTTCCAAATTTGGAATCATTGCTTCAAGGTGGTTTGCCTTCTAATTTACGAGATTTGGATATTAGTGACTGTGAGGGACTATCTTGTATATCAATTGAAGATTGGGTTTTCAACGGTTGACTTCTCTCTCAATATTGGTTGTTGAAGGTGATGGAAGTGAAACTATACTCCATAATTTACTAAACAATCAATTACTGCCCAACTCTCTTGTGAATATCCACATATGGAATTTCTCTAATCTTAAATGGTTAGATGGAAAAAGGCTTCAGCACCCTACTTCTCTCGAAATACTCTCCATTTATGGCTGTCCAAACCTTGAATCCTTGCCAGAAGATGCGCTGCCGCCCTCTCTTCTTCGGCTATATATCTGCGAGTGCCCTAAATTAGAAGAAATATATAATTTTGAAGGAGGAAAACACTTGTCTGACATCTCTCATATTCCAAGTGTAATAATTAATGATGAAGTACTATGATCTTTGAGATGGTGCGGCATTGCGTCAAAAGGTGAGCTCTCTAATTCCAAAACAATCAAACTTTTCAGTATTGTTTTATTTTCCCGCAAATAGTTTTTTCCTTTTTTTCCCATTTCCACTACACACATAAAATTTTTGGTCTTCCCTTCATAATTTTTATTTTGGTCTTCCCTTCATAAAACATTAATTATAGGAAACATCTTACTTATATCATATATACCTCAAGTTGTAAAATTTTCTTAGCCAAGACCACCAATGCTTCTTCAATTTTTATTTTCTCGAAAAACTTATAACCCTTTGAAACTTGTGGTTTAATTTAGAGTACTATACTTTCTCATCAAAATAAATATAAATAATAACAATAATAATAATAATATCAACGTTGATAATGTTTGTTGTACTATTTGTGCACATCTGAAGAGTGAAAGAGAATTATAGATGGCATCATTTTTTGTTTGAAATGGTCAATTAATTATTAAGTCATTGGTGATATGAGTTAATTATAAAAGTTGAAAAGATTTAGAGCCATGTCTAATTAGTTGACTCGTTATAACATATTTAATATTTGTGCTTGATTAGATATTTATGAACCCAATGCATATATATTTGTAATGAGATGTGAGTTCTAATATATGTACATGTGTATGTTAAGTAGCTTTAATTTGCGATTTTATAGGATTTATTGTTTTGATAAATTAGGTTAAAGAAGATGAGGAAGCAGTCAAAAAGAGACAAATATGATATGCAGGGAAGGCAGGCAAGAAGCTAACCCAGACATTGTTGAGGCAAAGTACAGGTCTATATTTTTAATGTTTAATGATTTTTTTATAAAATTATGTAAAAGCATTTCAATGGATCTGATTCTTTATTTTTATATTATTAGGTTAGAAAATACGAAAGGAGTTCACAAGAATTGCTCAACTTTCAGCACCAAGAGCTGGTAAGAAACTAATTAATCCTCTCTTCATCTTCTTGAAATTCAGAACTAATTAATGATAAATGTGTGTGTGTAGACACACAACATACTTTATGATAAGTTCTTTTTTCAGATTTATTTTGGTAAAAGATGATCTTGGTATGGTTGAGGTTTATTGTATTTTAAAATAATATATACTAATTTCAAGGTTTTTAATTTAATAAAATCATTATATGAAAATTCAAGTCAACAAAGATATCCTAGTTTTATATATATTCACCCCTTATTTATAAAAGCCAAATTTAAAGTTTAACTGAATGTTTTTCTTTTAATTGGATGTTGCTCTTAACTTTTTAATGACTTACTCTAAAATTTCATTAAGTAGAATATTATGGGCTTTTCAATATGCAAAGCAATGGCCAAGTGTCTACTGAAAATATCACATGTCAGGTAATACTTATAGTTAAAAGAAAGCAAACCACTTTTTTAATTGTTGTGATTGAAAGCTTGCTAGAGTTATCAAATCTAATATGATATTCTGGTTTGATAATTCATGTTCAAATAGGTGAAGAAAACAGTTAGAATTGCTCTGTTTGAAACTGAGTCATATGAGAAGCAAAAAAGGCAGGTAAAAATCTAATTCAACTGTAATTACTTTATCTCCTTATTTATGTAATATCAATCCCACAATTAAATGAACATAAAGCAGATGTTTTAGCTATATATATATATATATATATAACTTCCACTTTAGCTGGACAATCTATTAATGTCAAACCAGTATTCCATTGATGTTCGTTTTTTGTACAGTTGTGCAGAAACTTGATTCTAGTGTGTTGCTTCCTTCGCAATTATCACGAGGCAGAATTGAATTTCCTCATCAATTTCTGTGTTACCTCAACAACAATAAACACAACAAAGGTATGATATCAAGATTTAATGTTAGATACTTAGTTCAGTTTATTGAGATTATTAGTGTCTTAATGAACACTCTTTTAATTTACCTGGACATTCTTCTGCATTGATTAATTCGCCACTTGCAATTCCCACATGCTCATTTTATTAGATTAAGACAATGTCTTACAATGAATATGATATTTTGATTTTTATAAATTAGGTCAAAAATAGACGTGTGGTGTTACATAGAGCAAATTAAGAGTTGATAAGAAAGTAACGAACCTTATATATGTTCATATATATAGAGTCTTGTAATTTGTAACTAAGCATGTTTTTTAATGTATTCCACTTTAAATAATATGTTGTTCGCAGACCTCTACTGATATACATTTGTTCTTGAAGATTACATGACATACACACCTTCCAGGCATTTCAAGGTAAATGAGAAAATTAATTTAGTCTCCATGAGCCTAATTGTTTAATTTACTAATTCTAATATGTTAAGAATCTAACCTCTGACTTTTAGGCAATATTTAGTTATTAATTTTGATGATAACGAGTAATATTAAAATTATTTCAAATGATCATTGATATTTTTGAAAATTGAATCTGATTGATTGTGTTTATTGCAAAATCAGGGAACAACAAATAATTGACAATGGTTATGGAGGAAATTAGCTGTTGGGACCAAGAAAAGAAGGAAAGTTAAACATGACAAAATACAAAAAGAGAACTGATGTTGATGAATGATTTGCAAAGAGATTAAGGATTGAATTTGAAGATGGAAGCAGATTATTATTTATCCGAGGTTAATTGTGTACTTCCTAAATATCATTGTTCGAATTTGAGTATTTGGGTGCTTAGAATGTTTTTGCTACCTAGCTTTTTCAATAGAAATTTCTAATAAACTACTTTTTACATTCGTTTTTTAGGTAAGTTTGGTAAAACCATGTATGCTAATTTTAGGTGAGTTTTTTTTTTAAAAAAAATAGAATTGTGAGTGAGCTCAATATGTAACTTATAGGTATTGTAATTGAATTTTTATAGTGGGAAAATCTCTCGAGTGTTTCTCAAGAGGACTGGACGTAGGTCAGGGGACCGAACCAGGATAATTCTTGTGGTGCATGATTCTCTCTCTTCCAACTTCTCTCATTTATAAGCTAACTTATTTATCTACACATTTTATCTCACACATAAACACTATCAAGATGTTTTAAACTTAATACAATTAAATCATTATTATAATTGTTGTTACCATCTATGTTAAATCTAGATTGTCTAGATTGTTGATTAAATTTAATAAGAAAATTATAATTTTTTATTTAATATTTATAAAATTAAAATTAATGTATTTAATTTGAACCATTCAAATTAAATCTAAAGGGTTTAATTTATTATGGATGGGAGCAGGGTGGGAGGAGAGAAGCTAGGTCACAAAAGTTTTTCACATCAATTCTCAAAATAAGGTGAATAAAATAAATCACAATAATGGTAATATAAAATATGAATGAACTTTGTCATCTTTAATTATGATTTTTCAGTCTGCAAGCCACGAAAAATAAATTTGTTTCTTAGAATCTAAAACTTAATTGTTTAATATAATTCTTGAATATAGCATCTCAAGACTTTCAAGTCGTCTCTTGGCTCATTGAACATAGCCAATGTTCTTATTTTCCAACATAAGTATATGTCTATTCATTGTAAGTGAATTTTAAATTTAGTTTTGTGTAATGACTTATTTATAATTACTTTTAGCCATATGGTATCAAGCTCAATCCCAAACTCATTTTTTGTACCTAATGAAAAATACAGCAATATTAGACTTGCATGATTACCTAAATTTGTTCAAACACATTATTTGTTCATATATCAAGAAGATGGGCTTGGGCCCAAAATTTAAATAAAGAAAGAAGGCTAGCTTATAAAAGGCTCAAGCCTAACTAAAATGATCAATCACAATTTTCAATGTTTTTTAAATTTATGCATTTTTGATAAATTCTTAAAACTAAAGCTAATAATATGGGTCAATTCTGACCATATGAGTTAACCCATATGGATTGAGTTGGGTTGTATCCATTTTAATATAAGTTGAAAAAATTCTAACCCAATTCAACCCTTGAGGGCTAATGGATTAAAATGGCTAACACACTAACCCATTTTATTTTACTTTTCAATTTATTTTTTATATATGTTAGGAAAATGCACCTAAATGAACATGATGATAAGTTTCAATATAATATCACGGTGTTATTTTTTTAGTTTGTATTATATGAATTGAGTTAGCAATCATGCCCATCAATTTATTAAAAGTCATAAATCTACAATATTTTCCATTTTTTACTTTATTTTTATTTTTAAAAAAATAATAAGTTAAATTGACCAATCCTAACCCATCAAGGTTAGCCAATTTTTGTTTGCGTTAATTTTTTTCAACCCAATCCAATTTTTATGATTGGTTATTCAAGCTAACATGTAACACTTGCCTTGAGTGTTATCCAAAAATCACATAATTCAAACAAACAAAGTGTGGTTAAGGAGTTGATCCTCTAACCAACTTAAGAAATAAATCATTTAAAACCTTAAAAATAATTATAGGTTCTACCTATAGCGCACGGAAGCAAGTTAGACGAAAATGGAATAAAAAGATGCTGTCATGACAGTAATTTATTGCTGTCATGACAGCCCTCCTGGGCCAACTTCCAGGAGGCGGTGTTCCGTCATTCGACCTCCGATTGAAGTGATTTTAAAGCTCACACGTCACATTCAAAGGGTACTATAAGTGTACCAAATTTCAAAAAGATCCAACGGTCGGATTAAAAATTAGACATGTTAAAAGATTGACTATTTTTACTGTCATGACAGCTAAAAAGCTGTCATGACAGCACTTCCGGACCAACTTCCGGAGTGCACCATTTCATCATCTGACCTCCGATCGGAGTGATTCCAAAGCCCACATGTCACTTTTAAAGAATACTATTAGCATACTAAATTTTGAAAAGATCCAACGGACGGATTGAATTTTGTGCAGGTTACAAAATCAATACTGTAGCTGTCATGACAGCAATTTAATGCTGTCATGACAGCACCTCCAGACCAAATTCCGGAGTGCGTCGTTTCTCCGTCCGATATCCGATCGACGTGATTCCAAAGCCCACACGAAGCTTATAAAAGGTTTTACTTGTGACCCAAATTTTAGAGAAATCCAACGGTCAGATTAAGATTTGGACACCCGGATGCAAAAGTGCAGCTTTTTGGTAAAAACCATTTTCAAAATTGTCCAAATCCCATCCTAATGGTCACAAACCTGTGGAAACACTTTGGACACGTCAAATAAGATTAAAAACACTTGATAGAACATTCAAATGATGGAAAACCCCCATACATCAAAATTTGACCACCCGGGTGCCATTTCCTAAAATGGACCCTAAACCCCCAAAATGCACAAATCATACAAGAGTGGTCACAAATCAATCCAAATACCATGTATTTATATAAATACATATGCTAAACATTTTCACTTGGCTCAGAGCTCCTTGTGGGGCCCACGCACCCACTCTCTCTATCCAAGCTGTATGTTTTCCCATAGCACACCATTTGCAATGCAACCACTTTGCATTTGCTTATAAAATCACATATATATCAAAATAAAGATCTGCTTGTAATAGAAACTTGGTCTACTAAGTAAATCCATCAAAACCACACACCATAACCAAGTTTCCTAGCCACAAGTCTGCAAACAGACAAAAATTCATACACAAGCACACAATCCACACATATTCACACACACACACATAATCATATCCTACTGGCACCCTAATCTTAAATACATTACAATATATTTGCTCAAAAGAAAGGGGTTGCAGTTCTTTACAAATCACAAGCAAACCCCTAGCTTTGCTCTTTTCCCCGTCCACCACTGGATCCTTCGCCTGGACCTAGAATATTGAAAAGAAAGGGGTGAGACAACCACAGTCTCAGTAACAGTGAAATCTATATTGATTATTACAAAGTAAGCCATAATTAAATAAATGAATAATAAATTCAACATAGTATATAATTTAGCCATTTAAAATGCATGAATGCATGACCTAGGCCGGTATGGCCTTTCATGACCAACAGAATGCCCCCTGGCACTCTTTAACTCGCAGGTAAACCTTATACCTACTTGTACCTCCACAGGCACAAAACATAATCTAAGGCATGATCTAATCCACCGAACCGCCTATGCCCCTTCGACGTGAATCCTGAGCAGTCAAAGCTAACTCCCTCCCAGAGCCAGCCCGACTTACTCTCCATGTGAGGGCTACCTTGGCCTAGGCACTCAACCTCACACTTCATATGTCGGATTCCCTCCCCCACTGAGAGGTGTCGAACACTCAATACACTAACCACTTTAGTGCACTGAGCCCACAATACGTAAGACAACACTGAGTACTGACAGTGTGCCATAGAATATCAAAAATCCACACCTTCTCATTGGTGAACTCCCACCGAGATCATGCCTTTTACTCTTGTCTACCTTTCCTGAGTATTGACCATTCAACACTCTAAAGTAGTATAATATTTATAAATCTCATTTCCATAAAAACATTGTTATTAAACAATTAGAAAACATATTTGCACTATAATCAAAGTAGTACCCCATAACCCCTTATAAAGCACATTTAATCTTTTAAAACATGTAATGCATGATAACTAGTAATATTTATTCAAAAATAGCTAAAACAAAGTAATAAGAAATATAAATTCCCCTGTTACCTCAACCCTTTGGTACTAAAAGAGTTCCCCTTGTACAAAATAGGGCTCGGCTTGTTCCTTACTTCTCAATAAGTTCCACCAACAATTTTCTACAACATATAAGTGATCCACATCACTTATCATGACAAATAGTATTAATGAAGACTATAACTTATACCACACAACTTAGGTCAATGAGTCATAATCCACCCTAATGGTCCATATATTAAACCAACCATTCACATAGTATCACTTAACCACCAAAACCATTTATTAGCCATCACTAGGCTAATTTTCAATTTATATAATTTTTTTAATCAATTAAAAACCTTTACTTAGTGCCACCAACTTTCACCATTAGCCCTTATAATGAAAACCAAACCTTAATTTAAATCTTATTGGGCTCAAATAGCAAAATTATAACTAAATCAATAGGCTTAAACCATTGAGGAGCAAAAACCCAATTTCTCAAGGTTTATTTTGTGCCCAAAACACCTCTTTTCATCCAATTATTCACTCAAAACATTAGATCACTATATAGAAACTCAAAACATGCTCCCTAGAATCCAAAGAAACAAAAGCTTACAAGAATAAAGCCTTTGGGATCAAAATCCAAAAATTTCCTCTTCCAAAAATTGAAGAAAATCAAGAGAAAGAGAAGAGGATTGAAGTAGGGAGTTTACCTATCGTGTAGCCGAGCTCGCAACGGTCGCAAAGACTCCTAGATCCAAGCCTAACTCCCTCCCTTTCTCTTCTCTTTTCCTCTCTCTCTCTCTCCCGTTTGTGCGTTTGCTTCCTTTCTCACTTTCTCTGCGTTTCTGCATCAGTTTGCTCCTTAAAATGCTGGTCAAAAACTTTGGGGAAAATTACAAGAAAGGGCCCAACATTTTTTATTATTGCACAAAAGCCCGGGTCAACTTTGGTAATTTTTCTCATAGTTAAAAATCAAATAAAACCAAACTTTTGCTTAGTAAAATTCGAACTCTGGGCCTCTATTAAATTATTCTAAATTTTAATTTAATTATAGATATTTTATTTTATTTTTGTTTATTTTTTTTAAATAAATTTGAGTCTTAAAATTTTTAGGATGTTACATAACACCTATAAATCAACCTATATTCTGAGCTCTATCTAAAACTTTATGGTTTTTCCCCAAACAAAAGTCATGGATTTGAAAACTCAAAAAAGAAAGAAAGAAAACAAACAATAACAAACAATACTTGCGTTAAATTATGACACATATTGCATTAATGTTACCTTAAACAAGAAGCACAAGCCCAGTTCCCAATAACTGTTTCATAAAATATTTATGTAACTACAATATTTTATTTTATTCCTTTTTTCATTTCCAAATAAATCATTCTCTTTCAGCATACCTGTAAGTATTATTAGTGTTTGAATAGATGTGTAAAGGATCTTTGTCCCAAAAAAAAAAGAATAGATGCGTAAAGGATAGAATAGGATGAAATGAAATGACTAAAAAAGATTGAGTGATCGAGAATTTTGTTTAGAATTCAATATGATCAAAAAGATAGATTTCGTATTTGATTAAAAAATATTACATGAAAATAGATAGATTTCATTTAAAAGTAGATTTCATATAATACACGAAAGTAGCATCTATCTATATTAAAAATATAAACAGGAAAGGACTATTCCTTCATAACATAACGAATTAAAATTTAAATTTTTATTGGGAGAAGGACTTATATTTAGTGTTCAACTATGCGTCAAACAAGATTGCTTTCAATAAAAATTTATTTGTGAATAATAAAAAATAACAAAATATATAAACACATCCTCATCGCTAAATATATATGTCCTTGTAGATATGTTTATTTTACAAGAGTAATTGGAAAATTTGAGTCTGACTAGTCCCATACTGCAATAACCCAAAAAGATTAAAAATAAAAATATAGGAAAGAAACAATGATGGATTAATTTTAGCCAAACACTAGTACAAAATATAAAATTTATAGGGTACTTTTTACATCGGTTAGAAGGCAAACGGTGTCAAAAATAAAGGCGGTGGTATTTTTGTAATTATATTGAATTATGTGACACTTTTTACACCGGGTTCTTTTACACCGGGTGTCCAGGAACCCGGTGTAAAAAGTGTTTTTTAAAATCCTTTCTTCCTTCCTCCATTCATCAGTTCCTTCTCCTCCTTCTCGCGCCCTCCCTTTGGTGTCCCCTTCGTCCGCCCACTCCCCCTCCCCCCATCTTCTCCCTCGCTAGCCCCCCTCCCCCCGTCCGCCGAGCCCCTTTTAAATTTCTATACAATTGTATATATTATTAATTAATATTGTTATTTTTATATTATAGGATACTCTTAAGGAGCAACAAGCCCAAGGAAGCTTCATTCCAGAGGGCAGAAATGATACCTTAATAGTTGCTACAGGCAAGCCAGAGCATCTAGGTTGTGTGAGGGGCGTTGGATATGGTGTAGGCATTAAGGACTATTTTGGAGCATCTGCACGTCCCAATTCAGGAGGTGTAGTGACTAGAGAAAAGCTTGATACATTGATATCCACTGTGAGGTAGCAGACTAAGGATGAGTTTGAAGCTTCATTTGCAGCTCAGCTTCTACAAATGAAAGAGCAAATGAAGGAGGAGATGATGAGCATGATGAGCTCACGATAGGAGACAACTGCTGAACCAATTCATACGTCTCCTGCATTTCATAGTACAAAAGGGAGTAATATTCTTGAGCGTGTGTCAGAGGGTCCTTCTAGTGACAACATTGGTGAACCATGTGAGATATTTCTAGAAAATCCTGATAAACGCTTGGTTGCTCTTGGTAGCATCTATAGCTTGGGGTCAACCATCCACCACAAGTAAATTCAAGATGATTAAGTAAGAGTGGTGGTTGCATATCCAAAAGTGCCAGATGCTTTAGTTCCATTCCCTACTGATGAGGTGAAGACTGTGGTTGAAGCTGTTGGCAATTTTATCCTATGGCCCAAGAGACTTGTGAATCTGGTTCAAGCTGTGGTATAAAATTTCATGAATTTTTATTATGTAGCAACTTCCTAATATATATTTTTTATTAACTATTTCTTGTCTTTTTATTATGTAGAAGCTTTCCTCGCCGAATCTCCTAAAGCTTCCACAACCCTCGTTGACTCTGCATCAGCGAATGATCTTAATGGCGTATGATTTATCATTCGAATTCAAGAGTTTAGAAATGGATTCGGAGGTTGTGGGCAAGAAAGACATGATAGTGACAATTGAACGAGAAGATTTGGTTCAACTTCTGTCGAATAATCAGCTTACCACACCACACATTGAACTATTTATGATGTAAGTATATTTTTCTTTAATATAATTGCATTGTTCTAAGTAAACTTAATCATCAAGTTTAGTAAACTAATATAATTACATTGTTGTAGGTATTTTCATCATTTATGCATTACATCGGGCAAAGGTGATAAGTTTGGACTCCTTTGCCCTCATCACATGATAGAGAAAGGTAATACTCCAGAGTTAAGGGCGCGTACCTCCAACAGGGAATATGTGAAGTCAAAAAGGACGTTTTTATGGCTCAATATATGCACTCGTAAGGATCAATTTATAATTAATAGTTTTTTAATATGAATTTACTTTAACTTGTAACATATTTAGGTGAATAGTTTTTATGGCTCCGATAATAATTGTTGGCTTTTACTCTCCAAGCATGCATTTGCAAATGAAGATCCAAACAGATATCCAGAGCTAGGAGCAATCGGTAAGCAAATTGCAAGAAAATGTGGTGGCCTCCCAATTGCTGTGAAAACTATTGGAGGTCTTTTGCGTTCAAAAGTGGATGAAAAGGAATGGAGTAAAATTCTAAATAGCAACCAATGGGGCATACCAAATGATGATGTTATGCCTGCTTTGCGTCTGAGTTATCTCTATCTTCCATCACATTTGAAGAAATGCTTTGCTTATTGCTCAGTCTTCCCTAAAGATATGTTGTTGGACAAAAAGAAATTGGTCTTGTTATGAATGGCAGAAGACTTTGTACACCAACAATCCCATGTGATGAAGACATTTGAAATGCAAGCAAATGACTACTTTAATGAATTATTGTGTAGGTCATTCTTTCAACAAGATAGTGGCGATTAAAGAAAGTTTGTCATGCATGATCTCATCAACGATTTAGCCAAAGTTGTATCTGGAAAGAGTTGCCTATGGTTTGAAGGCCAACAAATTTCAAAACCTAGTCTTCGTCACTTATCATATCCTAGGCAAAGGCGTGATGGCTCTAAAAGGTTTAAGAACTTCTATCAATTAAATTGTTTAAGGACTTTTTTACCCCAATTTATAGACAAGTGGATGATACCTTGTTCATTGACCAGAAAGGTACCACGGGATTTGTTGCCAAAACTAAAATGTTTAAGAGTACTATCTTTGTTTGGCTATGACAATGTCAATGAGCTGCCTGATTCAATTGGTAATTTGCAACATTTGCGATATCTAGACCTTTCTGGCAATTCAATTGAAAGATTTCTTGATGCGGTCTTTACACTTTACAATTTGCAGACATTGCTTTTGTCAAATTGTAAGTGTTTTAAAGAATTGCCGGGAAAGATAGAAAGGCTTATTAATCTACGTCACTTGGATATTAGTGGCACCACTTTAAAGGAGATGCCTAGACAAATTACAAAACTAGAAAATCTTTAAAGTTTGAGTACCTTTATAGTGGGCAAACAACCGATTGGATTGGGAATTAAAGAGTTATAAATGCTCCCTTCTTTGCAAGGCAAACTTTCCCTTTCAAAACTAGAAAATGTTGTTGATTCAATGGATGCTTTGGAGGCAAACTTGAAGAGGAGAGACAAAATTGAGGAGTTAGTGTTGGAATGGGATTGTGACGCTCAAGATTCACAAATCGTGAAAAATGTCCTCAACATGCTACAACCTTCAACAAACTTACAAAGATTGACCATCAACCAGTATGGTGGCACTAACTTTCCAACTTGGGTAGGAGATTCTTCATTCAAGAATGTTGTATATTTATCAGTAGAATCCTCTTCGATTCAACCATTTCCATCCTTGAAAATTTTAGAATTTAGAGATATGCCACTTTGGGAGGAATGGATATTGTTTGATGGTGAAGATGCCATTTCCATCTCAAATATTTGATTTTATCTGATTGTACTATGTTGAAAGGAGACATGCCTAATAAGCTTCCATCATTAACAGAGGTTTCTATTTCAAATTGCAAAATGTTGGAGGCAAAATCAACAACTTTGCATTGGAGTGCATCTATCGAAGAACTAGCAATTGTGCAAGGGGAACAGGGGTTATTAGGAGCTCTTGATTATTATTCTCTGGACTCTTTGAAATCTATAACAATTCAGAAGTGTGATTGCTTGCGGTCATTGCCAAGAATGATAATGGATAGCCACGTTCTTGTAGATTTGTCTCTCAATGATATCCCAACAATCATGTCCTTTCCAATTAAAGGTTTACCTGCTTCTTTGCAACGTCTTACAATTGAAAATTGTGAGAAGTTAGAGTTCTTACCTCAGGAATCTTTACAAAACTGCACATCACTTGAACACTTGAGGATTGTGAATAGTTGTCATTCCTTGGTATCCTTCCCATTAGGTTGTTTTCCCAAGCTTAAAACCCTTGACATTAGCGAATGTCATAATTTGGAGACCTTTACAAATGTTGGGGGGTCTGCTCTTCCCTTAGAATTTTTTCAAATTGAAAGATGCAAGAAACTTAGATCACTGTCAGAAGTACGCATTGATTCCCTTGCCAACCTTCGATCTTTTGATCTAAGAAGGCTTCCAAATTTGGAATCATTGCCTCAAAGGTGGTTTTCCTTCTAATTTACGATCTTTGGAAATTAGTGGATGTGAGGGACTATCTTGTATGCCAATTGAAGATTGGGGTTTTCAACGGTTACTTCTCTCTCAACATTATGGGTTAGTGGTGATGGAAGTGAAACTATACTCCATAATTTACTAAACAATCAATTACTGCCCAACTCTCTTGTGGATATCTACGTAAGGGATTTCTCTAATCTTAAACGGTTAGATCGAAAAGGGCTTCAGCACCTTACTTCTCTCGAACAACTCTCCATTTATAGCTGTCCAAACCTTGAATCCTTGCCAGAAGATGCGCTGCCACCCTCCCTTCTTCGACTATATATCGGCAAGTGTCCTAAATTAGAAGAAAGATATAATTTTGAAGGAGGAAAACACTTGTCTGACATCTCTCTTATTCCAACCGTATCAATTAATGGTGAAGTACTATGATCTTTGAGATGGTGCGGCATTGCGTCAAAAGGTGAGCTCTCTAATTCCAAAACAATCAAACTTTTCAGTATTGTTTTATTTTCCCGCAAATAGTTTTTTCCTTTTTTTTCCCATTTCCACTACACACATAAAATTTTTGGTCTTCCCTTCATAATTTTTATTTCGGTCTTCCCTTCATAAAACATTAATTATAGGAAACATCTTACTTACATCATATATCCCTCAAGTTGTAAAATTTTCTAAGCCAAGACCACCAATGCTTCTTCAATTTTTATTTTCTCGAAAAACTTATAACCCTGTGAAACTTGTGGTTTAATTTAGAGCACTATACTTTCTCATCAAAATAAATAATAATTATAATAATATCACTGCTGATAATGTTTGTTATACTATTTGTGCGCATCTGAAGAGTGAAAGAGAATTATCAATGGCATCGTTTTTTTGTTTGAAATGGTCAATTAATTATCAAGTTACTAGTGATATGAGTTAATTATAAAAGTTGAAAAGATTTAGAGCCATGTCTAATTAGTTGACTCGTTATTGCACATTTAATATCTGTGCTTGATTAGATATTTTGAACCCGATGCATATATATTTGTAATGAGATGTGAGTTCTAATATATGTACGTATGTATGTCAAGTAGCTTTAATTTCTGATTTTATAAGATTTATTGTGTTGATAAATTAGGTTAAAGAAGATGAGGAAGCAGTCAAAAAGAGACAAATATGATATGCAGGGAAGGCAGGCAAGAAGCTAACCCAGACATTGTTGAGGCTAAGTACAGGTCTATATTTTTAATGTTTAATGATTTTTTATAAAAATATGTAAAAGCATTTTAATAGATCTGATTCTTTGTTTTTTATTATTAGGTCAGAAAATGTGAAAGAAGCTCACAAGAATTGCTCCACTTTCAGCACCAAGAGCTGGTAAGAAACAAATCAATCCTCTCTTCATCTTCTTGAAATTTATAACTAATTAATGATAAGTGTGTGTGTGTGTGTAGACACACAACACATTTTATGATGAGTTCTTTTTTCAGATTTATTTTGGTAAAAGATGATCTTGGTATGGTTGAGTTTATTGCATTTTAAAATAATATATACCAATTGCAAGGTTTTTAATTTAATAAAATCATTATATGAAAATTCAAATCAACAAAAATATCCTAGTTTTATATATATTGACCCATTATTTATAAAAGCCAAATTTAAAGTTTAGCTGAATGTTTTTCTTTTAATTGGATACTGCCCTTAACTTTTTAATTACTTACTTTAAAATTTCATTAAGTAGAATATTTTGGGCTTTTCAATATGCAAAGTAATGGCCAAGTGTCTACTGAAAATATCACATGTCAGGTAATACTTATAGTTAAAAGAAAGTAAACTACTTTTTTAATTGTTGTGATTGAAAGCTTCCTAGAGTTATCAAATCTAATATGATATTCTGGTTTGATGACTCATGTTCAAATAGGTGAAGAAATCAGTTAGAATTGCTCTGTTTTAAACAGAGTCATATGAGAAGCAAAGAAGGCAGGTAAAAAATTGATTCGACTATAATTACTTTATCTCCTTATTTATGTAATATCAATCCCACAATTAAATGAACATAAAGCAGATGTTTTTAGCTAAATACATATATATATATATATATATAAAACTTCCACTTTAGCTGGACAATCTATTAATGTAAAACCAGTATTCCATTGAGGTTCGTTTTTTGTACAGTTGTGCAGAAACTTGATTCTAGTGTGTTGCTTCCTTCACAATTGTCACGAGGCAGAATTGAATTTCCTCATCAATTTCTGTGTTACCTCAACAACAATAAACACAACAAAGGCATGATATCTAGATTTAATATTAGATACTTAGTTCAGTTTATTGAGATTATTAGTGTTTTAATGAACACTCTTTTAATTTACCTGGACATTCCTTTGCATTGATTAATTCGCCACTTGCAATTCCCATATGCTCATTTTATTATATTAAGACAATGTCTTAAAATGAATATGATATTTTGATTTTGATAAATCAGGTCAAAAATAGATGTGTGGTTTTACATAGAGCAAATTAAGAGTTGATAAGAAAGTAACGAACCCTATATATGTTCATATATATAGAGTCTTGTAATTTGTAACTAAGCATGTTTTTTAATGCATTACTTTAAATAATATGTTGTTTGTAGACCTCTACTGATATACATTTGTTCTTGAAGATTACATGACATACACACCTTCCAGGCATTTCAAGGTAAATGAGAAAAATTAATTTAGTCTCCATGAGCCTAATTGTTTAATTTACTAATTCTAATATGTTAAGAATCTAACCTGTGACTTTTAGGCAATATTTGGTTATTAGTTTTGATGATAACGAGTAATATTAAAATTATTTCAAATGATAATTGATATTTTTGAAAACTGAATCTGATTGATTGTGTTTATTGCAAAATCAGGGAACAACAAATAATTGACAATGGTTATGGAGGAAATTAGCTGTTGGGACCAAGAAAAGAAGGAAAGTTAAACATAACAGAATACAAAAAGAGAACTGATGTTGATGAATGATTTACAAAGAGATGATGATTGAATTTGAAGATGCAAGCAGATTATTATTTATCCGAGCTTTATTGTGTACTTCCTAAATATCATTGTTCGAATTTGAGTATTTGGGTGCTTAGAATTTTTTTTACTACCTAGCTTTTTCAATAGAAATTTCTAATAAGCTACTTTTTACATTTGTTTTATTAGTTTTGGGTAAGTTGGGTAAAACCATGTATGCTAATTTTAGGTGAGTTTTGTAAAAAAAAATTTAGAATTGTGAGTGAGCTCAACATGTAACTTATAGGGATTGTAATTGGATTTTTACAGGGAAAATCTCTTGAGTTTTTCTCAAGAGAATTGGATGTAGTTCAGGGGACCAAACCAGGATAATTCTTGTGGTGCATAATTCTCTCTCTTCCAATTTCTCTCATTTATAAGCTAATTTATTTATCTACACGTTTCATCTCACACATAAACACTATCAAGATGTTTTAAACTTAATATAATTAAATCATTATTAGAACTGTTGTTACCATCTATTTTAAATCTGAATTGTCCAAATTGCTAATTAGATTTAATAAAAAATTATAATTTTATTTTAATAACTATAAAATTAAAATTAAAATAAACATATTTAATCTGGACTATTTAAATTAAATCTAAAGAATCTAGTTAATATGGATGGGAGACGAGTGTGAGGAGAGAAGCTAGGTCCCACAAGTTTTTCACATATCAATTCTCAAAATAAGGTGAATAAAATAAATCACAATAATGATAATATAAAATATGAGAATGTGAAGCTGATAATCAAGAGGAAATCACTTAGTTTGAATTAAATTTGTCTTCTTTAATTATGATTTTTCAATCTGCAAGCCACAAAAAATTATGTTTCTTAGAATCTCAGATTTAATTAATTGATTAATTCTTGAATATATCATTCCTAGACTTTCAAGTCGTTTCTTGGCTCATTGAGCGTAGCCAATGTCCTTATTTTCTGATATAATTATATGCCTGTTTGTTGCAAGTGATGAACTTTAATTTTAGTTGTTTGTGATAACTTATTTATAATTTACTTTTAGCCATATGGTAGAAAGCTCGATCCCAGACTCATTATTTGTTCCCCATGAAAAATGCATCAATATTAGACTTGTGTAATTACCTAAATTGTAGATGATTTGTATATCAAAGTATAATTTGGGATTCACCTTGAAGCATTTTTTAATTCTCTATGCAACCTATAAATTTGAGAAAATGACAGTTAGGTCCAAAAATTACTTGATTTTATTTTTATCTTTCTTACTTTATCATAAGAGGAGCAAGGTCATTTGACAACATGAACAAATGGATGAATATTTAGTCAATCACATTTACAACATATTGGGTCATATTTTATAAGTTCATATATCAAGAAGATGAGGTTGAGCCCAAATTTTGAATAGAGAAAGAAGGCCAGCCTGTAAGAGACCTAAGCCTACCCAAAGTGACCTAATCACATTTTCAGTGTTTTCCAAACTTATGTTTTTTTTTTTATAGTAAATTATTGAAACTAAAGCTAGGAATATGGTTAAACTCTAACCATATAAGTTGGCCCATATGAGTTGAGTTAGGTTCAACTCATTTTAATATGAGTTAAAAAATCCTAACCCAATGATCCTTAAAGGTTAATAGGTTAAATGAGCTAACCCATCAATTTATTTTATTTTATTTTTTAATTTATTTTTTATATATTTTAGAAAAATACCCCGAAATGAAAATGATGATAAGTTCCAATATAATATTACTTCATTATTTTTTTTTAATTTGTATTATATGAATTGAGCTAGTCAAGCCATGCTCATGAATTTATCAAAAGTCATGAATTTATCACATTCTCCATTTTCTCTTCATTTTTTATTTTCTTGAAAAATAAAATGAGTTAACTGGATCAATTCTAACCTATCAAGGTTAGCCATATAGGTCATGGGTTACCTGGTCTAGTTCAGAAAACTCATTTTTATTTAGGTTAGTTTTTTTTTCCCCAACCCAACCCATTCCCTATAATGGGTTATTGAAGCTAACTCACATGACTCAACTTATATTCTCAACTTTACTTAAAACTTCATGGGTTTTCCCCAACAAAAATCATGAATTTAAACACTCCAAAAAAACACAACATTTACGTTAAACTATGACACATATTGCATTATTGTTACCTTAAACAAGAGCACAAGCCCAGTAAAGCCCAATAACTAGTGTTTCAAAAACAAAATTATGTAATTACAATATTTTGTTTCATTATTTTTTCATTTCCAAATAAATCATTCTTTTTCAACAGACATGTAAATATTATTAGTGTTTGAATAGATGTGTAAAAAAATAGAGTAGTATGAAATGAAATGACTAACAAAGATTGGATGATTGAGAATTTTGTTTAGAATTCAATATGATCAAAAAGGTAGATTTCATATTTAATTGAAAAATATTACATGAAATAGATAGATTTCATATAAAGGTAGATTTCATATAATACATGAACATAGCATCTATCTATATTAAAAATATAAATAGATCGGGACTGATTCTTCATAATATGATGAATCAAAATTTAAATTCCTACTAAAAAATATGCATATATTTAATATTCAATTGTGCCTTAAACATAATTATTTTTAATAAAAAAAGTAATTGCGAGTAATAAAAAAATAAGAAGAATATTGAGGATGTCCTTGCAGATGCGTTTATTTTATAACAATAATGGGAAACTTTGAGTCTTACTAGTCCCATGCTGCAATAACCAAAAAAATTTAAAATAAAATAAAAATATAGGAAAGAAACAATGATTAATTAATTTTATCAAAATCATGAAACCTGAAAATGTGCAAGATTTTTTTTTAATTATCTTAAGAGTTCAAAATCATATATTATAATTTTGTATGAAAGAATAATTGTCTCTTACGGTTACATTCACTACATAAAATAATCATCTTAATTAGTATCATATATCAAAATCCTCATAGAAGACTAATCATCCCCGCCATACATAGTACCTCAATCTCTCTTTTGCAATCAAACATCATAAAAAATTAAAATATTTAGGATTCTTAACTGTAATTAATATTTTCAATAGAGTTCTTAAATGTCATTTCCCAAGACAGCATATCATATAAAGCTAATGATCTCGTCACTTAAAAATTTGTACAATTCCGCTATTGAGAAGAATGTCGTGCTTTTAGACTTAATTATTGTTGGCAATTGAAAATAAAATTATTGAAAAGGTATGAGGAGGGTGTGAAACTTGTACAATTAAACCCACTACTGAAAAACTAACAAAATCACTGAAAATTCACTAATTTCATACTTAGACTAAATTGTTGACGGGAACAGAAATAGAAAACTATTGAAAGGATATAAGATAGGTATAAAATTTAAATACTAAAAAGTAAAAACACCAGCTTTACTTGAATATTTACCTATTTTAAACTCAGTAACTTCTTTTTAAGAGAAAAGGTTTACGACATAGAAAAATCAAAGTGATAGACAAATTATAAAGACTAAAGACCTGTTTGGTTTAAATTTTTATTTTTTATTTTAAAAATTATTTTGTAGTATAATTTTAAAAACTGTTTTCCAAAACAAAATAAAATAAAAATCTGTTTGCTTGAGTTAATTTAAAAATAGTTTTAGCATTAAAAAATAAATTGAATGGTAATGATTATAATAGAAATTAGTTAAGATAACTGTAATGTTTAATAATCAAACGTAATGTATTTTAAAATAAAATTGTTTTTTTAACAAAAATTGTTTTAAAATAATTTTTTAAAATCTATATATAGATATATATATATAAGTAGAACTACAAGCAACATCTGATGACAACATGTATCCTTAATTATATTTTGTAAATTTATTTTAAAATTTTAATTTTTAAAAAAAGATAAAACTATTTACCCTCAAATATCTACCCATTATCTCAACTTCTTAAAAAGTATAACTATAAACAACATTTAACAAAGACATGTGTCCCTAATTTTATTGTCATCTATTTTTTTTAATTTTTAAAAACAAATAAAACTACCTTATCTTCAAGCATCTCCTCATTATCTCAACTTTTTAAAAAAGTAGAATCGCATGCAACATCTAATAACAATACATAGTGTCTCTGATGCTATTTACTTTTTTTACTTTTTTATTTAAATTTTTAAAATAGATAAAACTATCTTATCTCCAAACATCTCTCCATTATATCAACTCTCCATTTGTATTTACTAAAATAATTTATTTTATTGTTACTAAAATATATTATGAGGACAAGCAATTTGTCATTTAATAGTTTAGAATAATATAATAGTCATTTTATTATATTTAATTTATCACTCTAATATAAAAGAATATAAATTTACCTTCTAAGTTTAACGCATGTCTAATTAACAAAATATTGTGATTTTAAATAGCCATGCCAGACTTAATAATTTATAAAAACAATCTAATTTCTATATTTTAAATTCCTTATATTTTTTTAAATTTTCAAATCCCATAATCTATCCATTTTAATCATAACTTCCTAACTTCCTAAATGAATAAATAATCATAACTTTCTAAATTTTATTTAAATTAATATTTTTAAATATATAAAAAGTATCTACCATGAAAAAAATTTAAA